GGATGTGTTTAATGCTGAGGAGAGTTGCTGTCTCCTTCCTGACGAAATCGCGTCGGTCGGCCGCCATATACCTTTTCTTTTGTTGTACGGGCTTGGCGTCCGACCGCACGGCGAGTCTATGGCATATGAGGTTGGGGTCGATGCCCGGCATGTCCTCCGGCCCTCTGGCGAACAAGATGCTGAACCTTCGGAGGACGGCTATGACCCCTGCTCTGATTTCCGGCTCTAGACCTGCACCGATGGACACCCTCCTGTCCGTCGGCTCGTCGAGCTCGATTTCTTCCAGCAGAGTTGCTGGTTCCAGATGAGCGTCCAAGTCGGCCTGCTTGGCCTTCTCGGAGATGCTGTTGACCCGAGCCTCCCGCTCGTTGAGCTTCTCCATGGCCTTCGTGTAGCAGGCCCTGGCCATATGCGGGTCCGTACGTGCTACCCCCACCCCAGTGTCGGTGGGGAATTTGATGCATGAGTGTCGTACGGAGCATATGGCCCCCAAGTCTTCCAGGCCGGGTCGGCCCAAAATGGCGTTGTGGGCGCACTTCAGGCGGACCACGACGAATGTCATCCCGATCCGGGCGGTGTGAGGGCCGTCGCCGATCTCCACTGGCAAGTTGATGGTGCCCTCAGCGTCAATGCAATCCCCGGTGAAGCCGGACAGCGGGGTGCGCAGGGGGTGCAGCATGTCCTTCCTGAGCTTCATTCCCTCGAACGCCTCCCAGTAGAGGACGTTCACACTGCTCCCGGTATCCACAAGGACGCGGCGGACGATGGCATCGTTCACGTCCATGCTGATCACTAGCTCGTCTCTGTGCGGCGCTGGTGACACTGGCAGATCGGCGGGACCGAAGGTGATTGCCTCGATCTTGTTGCGCTTGGTGGGGGGTGCTGATACGGAACCCACATAGAGTGACCTCTCAAATTTTTTCCGCTCGGCGGGTGTATCCCCCGTCTCAGCGCCCCCAAAGATCACCTTGATCTCCAGCTTCTTCTTTTTGCCCTTCGGGACAAGGGATCCCTCCGGACGTTTATCCGCACTTCGGTAATCCACATCCTGGGGCTCTGCCTCGCGCCGGTCGTCGCGGCGCCATGTTCGGGGCCTTGGGTTCGGCCTTTGCTGGCTGTTTTTGTTCAGCAGCTGAGTGAACTCGCCCAAGTACCCCTGACGGATCAGCTCGTCGATTGCTTTCTTTAGTTGGCTGCAATTGTCCGTCAGGTGGCCGGCCCTCTGATGGTATTCACAGTAGGCCGATTGGTCAAGCCCCATATACTTCTTCATATCCTGGGGTTCCGTTAGGAGGCCCTTGTCCTTGATGGCCTCAAAGATTTGGCTCACTGGATAGGCCAACGGGACATAGCGGTCGTCCGGCCGTGCTTGAATATCCCCGGACGGAGCCTTCCAGGGGACCATCGCCCCGTCCGTCCTCTTCTTTTTGTTTGGGGGGGAGGGCCCGGGCCCCGGTCTGGGTCCGAGCCTGTCCGCCATCTTCCGTGGGTGGGCCGCGGGAACTCCGTCCCGCTGCCTGATCTCCTCCTCAATGGAGGCATACTTCTGGGCCCGAGCCAGAACCTCGGTGTAGCTGGTGCCGGGATTCCTCCTTAGGTCCCGGTATAGATCCCCCGTGGCCAGCGCACTGGTGAACATGTTGGTGGCCAAACGTTCGTCCAGATCGTCGACTTGCAGGACCTCGTCCCTCCACCTTACCAGGAACCTAGCCAGCGGTTCGTCCCGCCCTTGCTTGATGTGGGCGAGAGCCGTGACGTCCTTCCTGGGGGTGGTACTGGCAGCAAACTGCGCGATGAACTGCTGGGAGAGCTGCTCATATGAGTCGATGGTGCCTGGCCTCAACTGGCCGAACCATTCTTGCGCCGGCCCCTGAGGGTGCTGAAGAACAATCTGCAGATGGCCTCGTCTGATGCTCCCAGCATGGACAGGTTCCCTTGGTAGCTTATCAGATGGGCCTTGGGATCGCCAGCCCCATTATACACCAAGTTACCCGGGGGCCTGCAGTCCCGGGGAATCTCGATGCTCATCACCCGTGGAGTGAAGGGTGATGTGAGAGAGAAAGAGGGTGTGGCCGAGCCGACGTCCGTCCGTCTATTCATCTCGGCTATCTGTCGTTCCATCGCCTCCATCCTTGCCTCCTGTGCGGCCCTTCCGGGGGACACAGGGGGCGCGGCTTTGGGGACGGCGTTCTGCTGAGCGGCCACAGCTTCGTGCGGCCGCCTAAAGATCTGCGCACCTCGCCGTTGGAAACGTCGTCTGACGGTGTTGAACCTTGGGGTTTCGTCTCCCCGCGGGACTTAGCGGGGAATCGATGGGGTGCGAGCTCTGGACGCAGCGATGCTGACCCTGGTCCGCCCTCCCGTTTCACGGGAGCCTGAACCTCCGCCTAGCCGCTCATGGACTGAGGGCCGGTGGTCGCTGGATCCCGTCGTATCATCGTACGACTGCATGCGGCGAATGGGAGAGAGGGGCGTTCGCTGGGTGCTTGCCGAGTACACCTGCTCTCGGGCCTCCCGTTCGTCTGCCAAACGGCGCATGGTGTCAGCGAGTTCCCGCATGAGGCGAGGATCCTGCCTGGCCTCAAGGGGAATGAGGTCGGTGAGGCCCCCGTTTCCCCCGGAGGTCCATATCGTTGCGGACAGTTCCGAGTTCTGGCCGCGATTCCGGCGGCTTGATTCCAGACGCTCGGAGAGATCACGCTGATTGTTGCTTCCTGACATCGTGCTTGCTGTAGGGAGAGTTAGTAGCTGTTTGGGAGAGTTCCTGGAAACTTTTTGTTCAGTTTCCCACAGACGGCGCCAGTGTTGAGGTTTATTCCTTCAACCCTTGGACCCAACACGTAAGCCCAAAGATTTCGAGTGGAGTGAGTGTATGGATATCTAGCCCAACAACCTTCAGATGGATCAGGAAACAAGAGGAATAGCAGGCAATGTAAATAGGTATTATTAACTTCGTAATAACTCCCCTAAATACAATCTACTTGCTAAAAAGGGCACGTCGGCCGTTCGTCTTACAAGGCAGTAGAAATGCTGCGAGTAAGAATACAATAGCTAGATGCTAAGAATAGAAAGTTGCCAACCCTTTACAATGAAATAAATGCTTCTATTTATACCCACCAATGGGCAGGTGGCTGCGCTGACGTGGCAGCCTGTGGACCGCTGGTGCCCCAACTACCAAATCTTCAGCATTAAATGCACTTCCCGCCAGAATCTAGGCTTCCCGCCTAATCAGTGGGGACGTTCGTCCACCCGGGAAGTGAGCTGGATCCCCCCAAGTGACCCTCAGGAGATACCGGCTGTTCGTCTCCTGGCCTTGATAGATACTCACCATGTGGACTGGGCCTCCTCCGATGACCATAGGCTTGTCATGGGGACGTTCGTCGTCATCCCTGGTGGCCCGCGGCCCTGCTCCTTATCCTTACATTGACGTTCGTCGGGAGGACCCGCTGGGCCTAAACCCCCAACCCCAGACGTTCGTCCATCCCCAGGGAACATGGGCCTGTGGGCCGGCCTAGTGTTCTAACTGGACGTCCATCTGGCAAAATGGGTTAGTGGGCCGGACCTCGGCTTGGGCCCTTATCCCAACAATTACAATATCTAAATATTTTGTAACATCTACGTACATGATATGCTCAATTATGGATTGAATTGCTCATTAAATCATATTGTAAATTACATTTCAAATAATACTCTAATTATTATATTCATAATCATATTTAGTTTATACCGTGAATAAAGACATTATGATATGAAAAACATAATAGCAATATGCATATAATTATTCTGTAGTGCATATAATTATGAACACAATAAAATCTCCACTGAAAAAGTTTCATAATAACACATTTATTATTCTCCAATTATGAACTACTACAAGAATATCAATAATGTCCCATCATCCCAACGAAACGTGGCCGCAACGGGATAGGCCGGGATGGCAACACATGTTGCGGCTGCAATATTGCAGTTGCCTTCTGTAGTAGTGTAGCGCAACCGCATAAGACCACAATGGAGGTGTGATTTCAATTCACGGGGAAAATCTACTACGTAACTCACCCAACGAAACCGTAAGGTGACTGCAACTAGGCCACATTGGATCGTATCAAGACATCAACACTAATTATTTTCTTATTTCGTTCAAACGTAAAATTAAATTACACCGCATAGGCCGCAATAGCCGCAACCGCAGTGAACACAATAAAAACATTCATATAGACTAAAGAGTAAATATATAGTAAAAATGTGGTTAGATCATAGTAAAAATGTGTTATATTAAACTTTGTATCCTATGAAGGATTCACAAAGTGACGCGCCTCTGCCAGGGCATTGCCCCAGACTTTACACTAGTACGTAGTATTCCCTCCGTCCCGGTGGACTTTGCCAAGTGCAAAGTAGGTGAGAAATAAGAATAGTAAAAACTGTGTGGTTGAAATTTGTGCAAAGGAGAGAGAAATGTGCAAAACCACAAATTAGTTGCTTTAATAGAAAAGTGACAAAGTTTTTTGGGACAACCAAAAAAGGAAAGTTGGCAAAGTCCAATGGAACGGAGGGAGTAATACTTATCTTTTAACAAACTAAAACTATCTCACACAAATACAAATGTTGAATAAAAAAAAGTAATTCTTACGAAAATGGAAATGGATTGAGTGCGTGACTTGAGTTCCAATGACTCATTATGTCAATGGTGCATGCAATACATTAGACTAAAACATACTCCGTAGATAGGATGTAGAGAAATAAACCGAAGCTATCCGGCACGACAAATGCATCACAATGAATCAAAAGTGCACCAATCCGTTTATATACAATGGATTAAGTAGGAAATTCGTATTAGAATACAGATGAAGATGAAAATAAAATGTTAGATTCGAGATCTTAGGATAAAAAATGTGGACAAACTTGAAGAAGAAAGTCAAGTAAGAATGAGTTAATTAATTAATTAATTAAGTAGACAAGATGACCAATTGAAGTGTCCGTAATACCCAAAAAATTAAGGAGTAAATAAATATGAATTGGTCTTCAGCCAAGGAGTAATACCATTCCCCGCGGAACCTCACTTGATATACATATACACTCTCGTCTCGTCTTTTGCGCTACATAATCGGCAATTCTGTGAGCACAAACGATATTACCAAAACCAGTTCCATCTTCGCTTCGTTCCCCGTCCCCCGAAATTACCGCAGTTTTCTGTTCATTTCATCTCTCTAGGCGGAGCTGATGGGCAGGCCACCGAGCAACGGGGGTCCTTCTTTCCGATTCAACCCTACCGAGGTTTTTCACTTTATCCTCCCGTGTTTATGTATTCATTCATTCTCTAATTATGCGTATTTATTGATTTATTCGTGCATTGGAGGTCCTTCTTTCTCGATTCAGCACTGCCGCTTATGTAATTCGGTTTATTATTAGGTTGCATCAACAAATAATTCATTCTCATCTGTCTTAAGTATGTTAAAATCAAACCACATGAACGCAATTTCAACCGATTAAAAAACTAATACTAAGTGGCGAAAATACACAATCACTTCTTTCTTGTGAAATTGGAAAACCTAAATTGAACCTTAGCTTTTGCACAAACTATCAGCTGGATAGACTATAGCTATATTGAGATGGAAAGTCATGGAACAAGGAATTACTGACTGTGTTAGATAATGAGTTCTTTATTGTTTGTAATCCTCTAGGTTGCTGAGATGGAGGCTGTTTTGCAAGGACACAATACTCAAGTGCCTGCTCGTGAAGTTCTTGTGTCTCTCGCTGAAAAATTTAGGTACATATACATCTATACTTAATTGGTAGTTCGAGTCCCTCATTTAAGCTGGATACATTATAATGTAACTTAACCACATTTGTTTTAGTGCTTCACCCGAGAGACGTGGAAAGTTTGTGGTTCAGATGAAACAAGTAAGTGGCTGTCAATGCAAAATTGTTCCAATTAAAGAGTATTCAAATCCTGATTTTGTCTTGCTATTGGTTCCAGGTATGGAATTGGTTCCAAAATAGGCGATATGCTATCAGAGCTAAAACATTTAAGGCTCCCACTCCTCCCAGTAAAGTTACTGCTCCTGTCATGCCTCTAAGTGAACCAACTATTGTAAGAACAGTCCCTCAAGCTCCCCAACCTTCCCCCCATGTGGCAGGTGAAGTCTGTGGCGTCAATTCATTATTTTAATCATCATATGCTTTATTTATGACTATGTTCTTGTATTATTAATGTATTATACTATTGTATGTTTTATTAAATCACAGTGAGACCAATGACCCAAGCTCATCAGGGACCTCAAGCCATTGCTGCCCCTTCAGGTTGGATTGTTGAGTAAACTTTACTTGAAATGTCATGTTTTTCCAATTTATAATGCAATTCCCGCCAATGACATACATGATTAATCTGTAATGATTGTAACCTTAATTATTATATTTGCCTTGAAAATTTGTTTTCTATGACCAGCAAGTGCAGGTAGGAATGGTTCAGATAACTCGCAAATGGAGTTTGAAGCAAAATCAGCAAGGGATGGTGCATGGTTAGTGTTTCCTGTTTTGAGGAATTCAATAGCAGCTTCTTTCAGTTTTTTATATGACATGGTGGTTTTTCAAGTGTTGAACTTAGGTCCTACTTATAGATTGAAACTTTCTGGTCAGGTTTGATTTAGTGTAATATTAGGTGTTGCGAGTTTGGTTTGGTATGATGACGATGATCTTCTCTGAGACTGAATCAAGTTTAAAAAGGTCCTTATTGATGATTTCCCTTATATATTCTAGGTATGACGTGTCAAAATTTCTCTCACATAAATCCATGGAAACTGGAGATCCCGTAAGTATTGCAGCTCACAGTTCTTAATCATCTCTTTTCATTTTAGATGCTCGAACATCCCCTCATTTGCCAACCTAGGGTGAATAATCACCGTCTACTCTGCTTGGTTTTCCGTGACCTTTGCAACTTCAACTGATGCGTTTTTCTGATTGAAAACTGATTTTTTTTCCAACTATTCATTTGGGTGCACACATGCACCATATTATGTTCTTTTTCCATGGGAGTAAAATTGACGATTTTGGTTTAAATATGATGATATAGAACTGTTCTCTTAGCATACACAGCACATACACTGGTGTTATACGCACTACGTACAAATAATGCCAAATATTAAGGCGTACCAAAACAATCTAATTCCACTACTTTTCTCAAAAGAACAGTAAGAAAAAACTTTTATGTATGAGCTGCATTCCATATTAAGGCTTAACAAGAAAAGCACCATTAACATTTTTGTATGGGCTGTATCTGTATTGCACTATTGCTTCACACGTTCCTTAATCCTTTTTTTATATCATAAACCTCTCTTTGTAAATGGTTGATACAACCACTTCAATTGTTATCACTTCAACGTTCAAAAGGATTGATTTTTATTCTCTCTTTTTTTCTTTTACCTTTTTATCTTCATTATCTTTCTTATATGCTTTACTCTTTTATCCTTTTTATTTTATATGTATTTTAATTCTAATATTCTTTTTATCTTGTCATTTTATCTTTATCTTATACTTATATTTATCTTATCCTTTTTAACTTACCTTATCCTTTTATCTTTCTTTTCTTTTTGGCTCCGATATCATGTATCCATATATGTTAACCAACCACAAAATCTTTTGGGATTAATGCTTTGATGTTATATTGTGCGTGCATGTGTGTAATTAGTATGCATTGCAGCGTTAAATCATTATTTCAGTTAAAGAACCAATAAAAGCATGCATTATTTTCTAGAGTAAACGCTTAAACTAAAGCTTTACCACTTTTAGTCCCCCGACTACAATGCCACTTTGTACTCGATTTTAGATTTTTCCTTTTTAAGTCATTTGACTATTGTGCGAGAGACAATTTTGGTACCCGTCTTTGAATTTTTCCATATTTTATCCTCGAACTTTCATAGAAGTTACACTTTTGGTCTTTCAACTTTTTTGATATTGACAGTTTTAGTCCTCCACTATTAATAGCAAAACCAAAATAGGACTAGAAGTGTCAATCTACAATGCTCAGGGCCTAAATGCGGGGAATTTTAAAGCTGAGGATTAAAAGTATCTTTCCCATAGTATTTGAAGGACTAAAATTGAAAAAATCAAGGCCAAGTACCAAAAGTGTTGTTGACACTATAGTCAGAGGACTAAAATTGACAAAAATTTTTACCACACAACCCTATAGCTTTATGGAGACTCCGTTACTATATAAATTTTGAGTGGTTTTCCTTTCAGTTTGTACTGGTGAGATTCATTTTAATCTAACTTCATTTTTTAACAAAAATGAAGCCAAATATCTGTGTTTTTATCAACAGAATTAATTACTATTTTATATGGTTAGATCGTATTTTTTTTCAATGGGCGATTGTACAGACTCACATTTCATCTTTAATACTTATCTAACAGTTAAGAATAACTGATCATAGAAATGTTATGATACTTGATAAAAATTTACTGAGTATCTTTTAATTTTATTTTTGACAAGCGATGGATGAAATCTTTTCGTTAACTTCTATATAATTTTTAAACTATGTAAAAAATCTATTAACACGACTAATGCGTAAGGGATTATTAAAGTACATGCTATTCTGCTTGTTTTTTATCTGTATATTTTTAGTTCTGCTATCAGAGTGGCACTTGGAATTGACACATGCATCAATTTGGCATATTCATACATTGGTAAAATTTGGTTTGTCAATGGCAGTCGTGTTTTGAATATTTTATTCCAACTCTGAGATATTAAGATTGACTTCCGTTTGCATACGGACTAATGGAAAAAATCTGCCATTTAATTTGTGGGAAAACTGATCCTTTAATATTAAGGGGAACTTGGAATTCTCACATGCATAAGTGTGGCATATTCATACATTGTTATAATTCGTTTTGTAAATGGCAGTCATGTTTTGCACAAGGACTAACTCAAAAAACATTTGCTGTTTAGTTTGACGAAAACTGGTCCTTTAAGATTAAGGTGCACTAAACTCAGCGTGAATTCCCCTTCGAACAGCTAAGGGAAAAAGGAATCAAGGACTACTAACTCTCTTTGGCACTTATGCTGGTGTGCTTTGCCATTTTATATCCCATGTTATTATGGTCTGACTATATTGCTTAATGACCATTTCAGGAAGTCCTTGTTCGATTTGCTGGGTTTGGATCAGAAGAGGATGAGTGGGTTAATGTTCGCAAAAATGTTAGGCAGAGGTCTCTTCCCTGCGAATCATCAGAATGCGTGGCAGTTCTACCAGGAGATCTAATCCTCTGCTTCCAGGTGTACTGTCTGTTTGTGCACAGCAGCTTCACAAACAATCACACAATTTCTGCTGCTTAAAAATGGAAGTGCTGATATAAACTTGCTTGTAAACTCTTAACAGGAAGGTAAGGAGCAGGCTCTTTACTTTGATGCACATGTCCTTGATGCTCAAAGGCGGAGGCATGACATAAGAGGATGCCGGTGTCGCTTCTTGGTCCGCTATGATCACGATCAATCTGAGGAAATCGTTCCTCTGAGGAAGATTTGCCGTCGGCCTGAAACTGATTATAGGTTAGAGCAACAAAATGCCGATTCTGCCAAGCAGTCAAAAACCAGTAATGATCCAATTCAGACAGCGAACACTTCATCGCGGGTAGTCTGTGCTCCAACATCTGAAGCAGCACAGAAACCACCACCACCATCAGCCATCATATCATCTTCCAAGACAACTGAACCGATGGCCAAAAAGATGAAGACGGATGTGCATTTGTCTGCTTCAGCTCAAGTTGATGTCTCTGCCTCTACATTGAGGCACCCTAAGGCAGTGGAGCAACAAAATACATTTATAGATTCTCAAATTCGCAATACCGTAAAGGTCTGTCCCCCAGCAGAACCCCCCAAAAGATTTACACCTTCGGCTGAACCAACATTATCACCTTTGGCTGAACCAGCATTATTGCCTCAAGCCGGACCAACATTATCGTCTCAGGCCGAACCACCACCTACGGCTGAACCAGCATTGCCACCTACAAATGAACCAGCATTGCCGCCTCCAGCTGAACCAGCATTGTCACCTCCGGTTGAACCAGCATTGCCGTCTCGTGCTGAACCAACATCATTGCCTTCTGCCGAACCAACACTTTTGTCTCCAACCAATCCACCATTAATTCCCCTGTCCGAATCAACATTGCCACTTGCGGTTGTACCAGCATTGCCACCTTCAGATGAGCCAGCATTGCAGCTTCCGACTGAACCAGCATTGCTTCCTCCAGCTGAATCAGCATTGGCGCCTCCAGCTAAACCATCTATGCCGCCTCCAGCTGAACCAGCATTTCCGCCTCCGCCTGAACCCACTTTACCGCCTCCGGCTGAACCCACTTTACCGCCTCCGGCTGAACCCACTTTACCGCCTCCGGCTGAACCCACTTTACCGCCTCCGGCTGAACCCACTTTACCGCCTCCGGCTGAACCCACTTTACCGCCTCCGGCTGAACTCACATTGCCTTCCGTCAAACGAGCATTGACGTTTCCGGCTGAACCAGCATTGTCGCCTTCCGCCGAACCAGCATTGACGCCTTCCGCCGAACCAGCATTGACGCCTTCCGCCGAACCAGCATTGACGCCTTCCGCCGAACCAGCATTGACGCCTTCCGCCGAACCAGCATTGACGCCTTCCGCCGAACCAGCATTGACGCCTTCCGCCGAACCAGCATTGACGCCTTCCGCCGAACCAGCATTGGCGTCTCCGGCTGAACCAGCATTGGCGCCTCCGGCCGAACCAGCATTGGCGCCTCCGGCCGAACCAGCATTGGCGCCTCCGGCCGAACCAGCATTGGCGCCTCCGGCCGAACCAGCATTGGCGCCTCCGGCCGAACCAGCATTGGCGCTTCCTGCCGAACCAGCATTGGCGCTTCCTGCCGAACCAGCATTGGCGCAAGATGATGTTATGATAGATAGTCTTATGCTACCGGGTATGGATTATGTTTTTGATGATATGCTAGCCAGTAGCACTGACATGCTTGATGCCATTGGTTCCTCCGGTAGTTTGCAGCAATAGTAGCTGTCAGTAGTTCTTATAAACTAGTAAAAAATAGTCTCTCAACAACTATGGTCGTTTTAGTTTAAAAATATGACACTGATGTTTTTACTAAAAATCAGTTAATTTTTTGCAATGCTTTTAACTTGTATTTCAGTTCAAGCCATACATCAATCACGGAATATAATATATATCTTTTTGTGTAGTTTGAACCCCATCGAATCAGTTAAATCGTTCAATGCACATTTTTATCTAATAGGTGAGCAAATTTAGCGAGCAACATGCTCATTATGGAGCACGTATGTGTTTGTATGTATATTTCTGTACTGCCGCCCTTACTACCGGAAATTCCTGCATCCATGGATGGATGTGATGAAGGATAAAGTGAAACTATTTCTACCACAGTCACCTCGTCGATGTGATGAAGGATGAAGTGAGCATCTCCACCACACGTTATGCTAATATGCTTCACAATGAACTTATTGCATATTCTTTCACAGTAATACGAAGGTATATCATTTATCTTTTTTACGCTTGAAGATGAAGATGGATATGTTGCTTTACGCTAATGTACATGATATTGAAAGTATCTTACGCGTTAAATACATTTTAGAACATCATTCCGGTCCCGATTGCTTGGGTGGAATACTTTTTTAACGAATCCATGTGGACAACTTTAAGATATCTTACATTTTTTTAGGAAACGTCTTTACATTAAATTCCATGTAGCCAAAATTTGAGGAACTTGAATTTTCATCATTCCACCTAAGCCTGTCAATGTGTTGGGTCTAGACCCGGACTCGATCCGAATCCAGCACTTTATTTGAGGGTATGAGTCTAAATTTAAAACGTTTCCCGGATCCGTACCCGAACCCGTTACATGATAAAGAAAATGAGTCGGATATGGATTTTTAAGTTCCGGCCCGTTTTGGACCCGACCCGTGATGATATAATTATAGTTATAATTTTTACATACACACAATATACATAAAAATATTTAAACATAAAATAAGGAAAATAATCAAATATAAAAAATGTTTTCATGTTTGTAGGCTTATTTAGTGGTTGGCCCACTATAATGAGATTTTCGCTAATGAGTTAGTGTTTTAGGTTCTCCATGAGTTCACTAATATACATATAACATACTCTGTATATATTGTATATAGTTCATACGGAGTAACGAATAGAACATTTTGCTTATTTTTATATGACCTCTTCCAACATGAACATTTTTTGTTATATACTCCGTATTATATTTGTTTGCATATGTCATTTAATTTTTTTGCGGGTATACCTGCCCCGGATCCGAGACCCGCCGGATCCAAATCTGGAACATATGTTTAGGACCTGAAGGGTAAATGAGTCCGGATCTGGACCAAAAAAATTTCGACAGGTATGGATATGGAATTTATAGTTCCGACCCGTATCTGACCCATTGACAGGCCTAATTCCACCAATGAAATGTGTAATGTGTGATTGTGCGCGTGTATTATACACATGTAGTATATGGTGAAGAAGGAAGAAAATATACGTTGGAGCATGAAGTTGTGGATTAGTTGGATATTACGGTTTACCTTATCCAAGTGGATCAATTAAATATTACAATTGCATCATTCAAAACCAAATAAATGATACTACCTCCGTCAGCAAATTATACCGTGGAATCAGCGCATCATGCTCGATCCCAAAACGTTGTCGTTTTTCCATCGATTTAATTAGTTTAGGGGAGTCCGACCAGCATCTGGAATTGCTCCGCATCTGGAATTGATTGTCTCCGATCTTCGACCTTATTGTGGATTTGCAACTGCTTCGCATCTGCTATGCATCTGGGAGCCCCGCGACGGAACAATTGCTAGGCCGCTATATTCCGCATCCGCATCAAAACAGTAGCTTTCCAACCATGATCGTTCCATATCAGATCGAAATTGTCCATTGTTCTCCTAACTTCCTGTTGTCTCGTCCAGAATCCATCGTCGATCCAGTGACGAGTTCACTCGGCGCAAAACTCCATTTAGACTGCCTGAGTTTAATCGCATCTACAATTGTTTTTTTTGTTCTGAAAGATAGCATATGGAGTATGTATATTTAATACGGAGTAGATAAGTATACTTTTATTTGGGCTCAAGTTACATATCTATTAAAACAATTTACATTTCCATTGAGTTCAAGTTACATTTAAATTATCCCGATTTACATTTTTTATTTAGCTTGAGTTACATTTCTCAAGTTACATGTCATATATCCTCGATTTACATTTCCACAAATTTGAAGTTACATTTTATAATACACGGTTTACATTTCACATATGATAAGTGATAGAACTACTGGAGGGAGTAACAACAGTTACATTTTTGGGCACCTGTGGTTACATTTGATGTTAACTGAAATTACATTTGTAGCAAAGCGAGTTACATTGAATTATGTATGAGTTATATCTAATTATTTGTGATTTTTTACTTATCTTTATCTATAAAAAATTAAATTACAACAGAATAAACTTCATAAAGCCCTACTATTGAAATCAAAGAATCATTGTTTTGCAAAAAAAATCATTTTTTAGAAAAAGAAAATGATTTTTTGGCAAAACAAAATGATTTTTGGGCAAAAAAAGTGATTTTTTGGCAAAAAAATATTTTATTTGGCAAAAAAAAAATTAAAAAATTTCTATTGTATTAATATTAAAAAACAAAATATATTTATTATTTAGCAATTAGACTTCTTGTTTTCATTGAAATAAATGTTTTATTTCTTATAATTCGTATCAGACAAGTTACATTTCGACTTGCGTGCATCTACATTTCTTATCAGTGTGAGTTACATGTTTTTGCACGCGAGTTACATCGTTCTGCTGATGGGACAATGAAAAAAATAAAAAAGAAGTTACTGTTCACGCGTGTGAACAGTAATACGCGTTTTTGGGCCCTGGAGCAACATGCTCACCGTGGGCTGCTCCCACAGTATAACAACTGACCTCCGTTGCACTATGTTTGAGACAAAGGGGTGTGACACAACTTTTAAAAAAAGTTAAATTTTGTGGTTGGTATTGAATTGATAAAAGTGTTAATAAAGTAAGAATGAATTATAAGCACCTAAAAATTAACAAATATGATATGAGACAAATATAATGGGACAGACGAAAAGGGTAAAGTGGGACAAAGTCGGGGACGGAGCCACGGAGGGAGTAAAATAATGACAGATCAAATGATCAATCAAATGTGTCATAGTTCGACACTATCATTTATTATTGCGGCAGCATAACATTTATCTTTTTAGAATTCATTAACAATTAAATTAAGAAATAATTACATGTGACTAAAATGAAGACTGCTTACAAAAATATGATTAATGGCTAGAGTATTAATGAAATCATATTAACTTATGTTCAATTTTTAAATTTAAGTTACTATGACACTACATTGTAGTAACTAATAGTCATATTTTTACAAATAAGTTTATTTTAGTAATATTTTTGTAAAAAATCCTCAAATTAAATTAATAAATTTCTCATATGCTCCATATAACTTTTATAGTGTATATGACGCTTTCTTTAGTAGAATAAAAACCTATCGTTTTGTAATTAATGACTTTTTCTAATACAAAAATACTTCCCTTTGTTTTCTTTAAATTGTCAATTTGTTTTGGAGAGTCTTTTTTGACACATTTGGAAAGGTTTTTTATTCGTCTTATTTCTACTTTTTGCAACTTCTACCTTTTTTATAAATTCTCTACTTTTTATCGTCAACTTTCCTACTTATTTTATACGAGTATTTTTTTTTGCTTCATCTTTCTGAGAACCCTTCAAGGACCGTAATTAAAAGTGGAGGGTAATAATAATTGGTTAAATTTACAAACAATTGAACAAAGAACTTAAGAAGCCTTCAATATATGAATTAAATGCAATTTTGAAATTGCAGTTCAATTTCCAGAGTTAAACAGTGCTCTGTATTAGATTACTAGTATGTTTGCCCGTGCACTGCACGGTAAAATATTTGGGTAAAGTTTTTTCTTAAAATCGTTGGACAGTGAATTGTATGTGAATTTGTAAATCATTGTTTAAAGGAGAATTTAATTAGACTATGTATAGAGCTGTGAAAATGAGTCAAAGTCCACAGATAGAGCTAACCCATTTCATCTCATTTCATGATGGGTTAGAGTTATCATTTTTATCCCGATGAGCTCATCGGTTTCGTGGGTCAACCAGCACGGGTTGCATGTTAAATGGGGTGACACATGCAGATTGTGAGTTGACCAAAACACAAATATCTATTATTGAGTTTCATTGTCTTCAATATTGATTCTTTACTACCTGTTGAGGTTAAGTCCTAGTGGTCCAAAGGCCCAACACAGTCCTTAAGCTTTGAGCTTTCGTGGGATCTTTTACCGATCATTGTGTTTTGTGTATTAATTAAGGTAATATGAAGGCAAAAGCAATAGCAAGAAAGGATTAGAGGTATAGACATAAAGTGGGTCAAGTTCTATTACGAACTTACCTAGCCTGAGTCCCGACCCCCTATTCTACACCGAGCTATTACAGAAGACCTAGAGAGCATTCTAAGTTATAGTATGCAAGTTTGTCAAGCATTTACAATGAAATAAATGTGAGTTTTTATACTACAATGTAGTAGGGTGTAGGTGATGATGTATCAAAGCCCTCACTGGATAGCCCTCAACCATAAAATCATGCATCCATATCTAGTGCACTAAATGTCCTTCCTGCTAATTCTGGTCTTTCTGCTGATTGCTTTGGGGAACTCTCCAACATACAACCAACACTATCCGAGAAAACACCAAGTATCAGAATATTACCGACCGGCGGATCCCGTGCAGAAAATGGGCTCGTGTGCTAGTTAGGCCGTCTGGAGGTATTTGGGCTTGGACCCTAGACAATACCCCAACACTACTAAAATTATTTTTCAAAAATACCTATTATTTTACAAAAAAAATTTGTACTGTTATCTGTATAATAGTTGTTCAAATAAGTTTCTTGAGCATATTTTTATGTTATAGTTGAAAATAATTTTTTAATAATTAATAATCATTGTTCACAAATATCGATTGAAGAGATCTAATTGAATCTTTTTTTTGCACAATAAGTGCTTTTCCTAGATACTCCCTCCGTCCCGGGGAGAAGTTCCCGGGTTGACTTTCACACATTTTTAGGAAATAAAGTTACTGAGGGGTAAATTTTACTGTTTTGCACTGTTTCGACACTGGTTGGCACTGTTTCGACACT